GCCTGAACGGTATGTGGAATGAAGTGGGCGGGCATCGGGAGGCCACTATGGCACGGGGCAAGCACTATGGGCAGTCTATCTGAAGTGTACCTGGCATATAAGACGACCCCCCACTTGGAGGCATATTTTTCAGGGCCAAAAAATCGTCTTATACGCCGGCAAATACGGTACCACGATTTATTCATTCTGTTGTTGATGGAAACGGGTTTTCAATTTGACTGTTATGAAAAACGTAACAGTGTTTTTGTGTCTAGGCCCTGAGCAATCTACAACTTGAGTTAGTGCTAAGGCCATGAGCAATCTACAACTTGAGTTAGTGCTTTGGAACAAGCCAAAACCTCAGATGCAATTTAACATTGATAACTGCAGCACAATAGATGTTTTCATATTGATTCCCAAACCAAGGGAAATGTCTTCAAAAGCTCTGCAAAAGTCGGGAGTCTTAAAATGTGGACTATTCGTGTATTAATACAATGAAATGTCTTGAAGTATATGCTATTACTATTATTTGTGACTTTCAACAAACGTACATGTAACTTTTTTCTCTTTATTTACTTTTTCTCCAGTGTTAGGAAGGATTTTTGCTATTTGAAGGAGTGGATTATGAGGGCAGTGACAACAACAAAGACAGTGATAACAACTCGGGGGGTTTGCATTGGAATCTACCTCAGGATCCTAGAGAGGAGCTGACTCAGCAGAGTGGAAAAAGCAGGTACTAGAATCAGACCTATCTCTCTGCACGGGCATTAAGGGTAGGGTCCCAACTGAGTAGTCTCTCTAGCTTTAATGCTTGGCACATGGTGGGCATTCAATAAATGCTTGTTGAATGAGTGGTTCAAACATCAAATACTATTTTTTCTCAGCTTATGAATTTCTAAAATTAGAAACTAATTACTTGAAAGATGGCATACTTTTGTTTTTTCACTTTTCATTGAAATAATTCTCAACATACAGAAAAGTTGCAAATATTGAGAATTTTGACATATTTATATTCACCAGGATTTTACATTTGCTACATTTTCTCTTTTGCAAAAAGACTATTTTAGAGCAGTTTTAGATTTATAACGAAACTAGAGGCCCAGTGCACAACATTCATGGGGGGTGGGGAGTGGCCCTCATCCTGGCCTTCAATATTGGGTTGGCTATTTTGGGTCTTTTGCCTCTCCATATAAACTTTACAATTAGTTTATTGACATCCACAAAATTACTTGCTGGGATTTTAATTGAATTGCATTGAATCTATAGATCAAGTTGAGAAGACTGTTATCTTGACAATATTGACCATATCTGCTTGTTAATGAACATGGAATTTATATTTGTTTAGTTCTTCTTTGATTTTATTCATTGAAATTTTGTAGTTTTCCTTAAAAAAATCTTGTACATATTTTGTTAGATTTATATCTAAATGTTTCATTTTTTTGGAAGCCAATGTAAATGGATTGTATTTTAAATTTCAAATATCACTTGTTCATTATTGGTATATAGGAAAGCAATTGACTTTTGTATATTAACTTTGTATTCTACAACCTTGCTATAATTGCTTATTAGTACCAGGAGTTTTGGGTTGATTTTTTTTCTCCATAGACAATCACATCATTTGTAACTAAGGATAGTTTTACGTCTTCCTTCTTAACCTATACACCTTTCATTTCCTTTTCTTGACTTATTGCATTAGCAAGGACTTCCAATATGGTGCTGAAAAGTAGTGGTGAGAAGGGACATTCTTGCTTTGTACCTGTTCTTAGTGAGAAAGCTTTGAGGTTCTTGCCATTAAATATGATGTTAGTTATAGGTTTGTTGTAAATAATTTTTTAAAAATATATTTTATTGATTTTTTACAGAGAGGAAAGGAGAGGGATAGAGAGTTAGAAACATCGATGAGAGAGAAACATTGATCAGCTGCCTCCTGCACACTCCCTACTGGGAATGTGCCTGCAACCAAGGTACATGCCCTTGACCGGAATTGAACCGGGGACTCTTCAGTCCGCAGGCGGACGCTCTATCCACTGATCCAAACCGGTTAGGGCTGTTGTAAATAATTTTTATCAAGTTGAGGAAGTTCCCCTTTATTCCTAGTCTGCTGAGTTTTTGTCATGAATGGGTGTTGGTTTTTGTCAAATGTTTTTTCTACATCTAGTCATATGATCCTGTGACTTTCCTTCTCTGGCCTTTATTTAAAAAAATTTGATTTTAGAGAGAGGAAGGTTGCCTCCCACATGCACCCCAACCTGGGGCCGGGGATCAAGCCTGCAACCAAGGTACATGTCCTTGACTGGAATTGAACCTGGGATCCTTCAGTCCATGGGCTGATGCTCTATCCACTGAGCCAGACCGGCTTGGGCCTGAGGCTTATTTATATGTCTTCATATGCCAACGCCCATCATTTAATTAATGGACATTTCTGATGCCAATTCCTTTGTTGACTTTCTCAGTATTTTCTGCAGACATCGCATGGCTCCGAAACACAGAGTGTGCTGTCTTCCTCCTGCTGGGATAGCAACAATCGTATCTGCAGCAGCAGCAGAGTCAAGTTTAGCTCTAGGTGAAGTTAAGCTTGGACACATGATATTTGCTCTACCGAGTACAAATTTAATGGCTCCTTTTCAACCTGCTAGTGTGGCACCATAAAGGGATATTTGTAAGCCATCTTAGGATTGGATAAAAAGGCTCTTCTCTTTGTCTAAAAAATAGTAGCTCTCTATTTACTATAAGGATCTCTATATGTTTATAGCATCGCACTATTTTGACAGGATCTTTCTTAGGCATGATTTGATTAAGCTATGGTTTAAGAACTAGAAATTGCTCTATTAGTTGGTTCTTAATACCCTTTATAACTGATGTTTTCAACTGGATGCAATTGGACACATTGGCTTTTTCTTCACATTTCTTGAATATGATCCAAGGTGAAGGGGGCAGTGATAGAGAAGGACCGGAATGGGGAAAAAATTGAATTAGCAAGGGTCCAGGAGATCCCCTTACACGAGGAAGGCCGGCACTGACAGTCGGCGCTGTTGTTCTTCTCAAAGGGCTTTTAGAAGCCAAGATTTGGGTGTCAGGTGTACTCATATTTATTAGGAGGGTTACTGCACCTAAGTTCTCTCAGTGAAAAGTACTAGGGAATATACCCAAGAACTACTGAATAAGAGTTTGCATTTTTTAAAAAATATATTTTTATTGATTTCAAAGAGGAAGGGAAAGGGGGAGAGAGATAGAAACATCAGTGATGAGAGGGAATCACTGATGGGCTGCTTCCTGCATGGGGGGATCAAGCTCACAACCCCAGCATGTGCCTGTGACTGGAATCGAACACAGGACCCTTCAGTCTGAAGGCCGATGCTCTATCCACTGAGCCAAACCGAATAGGGCCAGAGTTTTCATTTTTAACAAAATTCCCAGGTGATTCATATGCACATTACAGTTGGAGAAGCATTCCCACCTAAAGTAAATGACTTCAGTGTCCAAGCCAGCTGTTGGAGCACCAGCCATTGCAGCTGCATCTCAGGCATGAGGAAGGAGGAAGGAGACAAAAGGACTCACCTCCCTGTTGAGTCAGCTTCCATTAATCCCAAAAGACTCTAGCAACAATTCTGCAAAATCTCATTGCTTACAATTTAGTCACATGGCTGATGAAGGCCAGGGAAGCAGGAAAATGTAGCCTTTCGGTTGGGCCCATCGCCAGCTGGAATACAATTTGCATTCTGTTTCTAGGAACAGAGGGAACGATGGCTATTGGGTAAGTTACATGAGTCTCTGCTCCTCTGGGTTTCCTTGGTCATTCTGTGTCCACTCTGCATGCCGGGAAGTTGTTGGCAACAGAGCCAGCACTGGGCACAGCTGCCAATCACCCACATGTGGCCAGCAGGCGGGTCACCGTGGTCAACCGAGAATTGAAGCACAAAGGTAAAATCTACCTCTTATGTAGCCTCTGGTACCATCATGCCCACCCACCCCACCTTCTGCCTGGACTCAGACTGGAGCAAGAGGGCCAGAATTCATGGAGCAACAAGATAGAAGAGAAAGTGTGGAAGGCACAGTGAAAAACAGTCGCTCAGCTGGCAGAGACTAGACACAGACTTCCCAGGTTTCAACCCTAGTGCCATCACTTACTAGCTTTGGATTTTCAGTTAATGATGGCCACTTGAACTTTCAGTAAGTTAACCTACTGATGAAAGGCCTCGCGAGACCTTAATGTCTTCATGTTAAAGTACAGGGCTACCTCCCAGGCTGTAATGGAAATAACAGGAGAAGCTCGTGGAGCACTGGCCATCCAGAGCTCTCCATACACCGTGGTTCTTACCACTGAGCAGAGCTGCCAAGAGCAAAGGTACAACCTCCCTGGAGATGGCTGCAACCCTGACCGTGGACGCGGGCCCAGAGAAGCACAGAAACTACCAACTTGGAAGCATCATTGATTTACTTAATACTTTCAGCCCAATATTCCCACCAGTTTAGAGAAGATTGCAACTAGCTTTGTTTACTGTTCAACACCCTTGTGACAAATACCCAGGATTTGTCTTCTGTTGCTTTGTGGGACAGTGTCTTCTCTTTCCCCGCGTTTGGTTTCCCTTCTTGACTACTTGAAATACTTCCAACACATTTTTAAAAACAATACTTAAAGAAAGAAAAACAAACCCAAAAAGCCAACGTGCTAGTGACAGCATTTGCCCCCTTCCTCTCTACAATAAAGCCGGCAGCCACCACTGTCCTTGTACGAGGACTGAGCAAACCTTGGCAAGTCCACATCCGTCACTGGATACACTAAAGGCCACACTATCATTTTCTTAGACAAACATCCTGGGCAATTTGGCTTCTTTTACTTTGCCATGAATACAACCGGTTTGCAGAGTACCTTAGGGGACCTTGAAAGACTAGTTCTTGTTATTTTAACCTCCTCACTGGCTTATCATCCTGGTTTATAATTCTAACATATTTGCCAAAGGCTTCCAGGTACCACTGAAAGAAACACCTAGGATAAACAAAGAGCATTTTTTCTTCCCGAGATCCGTATCTCCTTGACACGATGGGAAAGGTTTAAGGAATGCCAAGGAGCACGTGAGCGTGTGTCTTTGTGCCTGTTTATGCGAAACTAGGACTAAATGTTCCGTGCAGCAACACTACCTTAGCTCCTTCTGCCACTTCCCACTTTGGCTGAGGCTGTTGGAACTAATCCTTCTGCCCTCTGATTTAAGGTAAAACGACACCTGGTTGGCTACTTCAGGGACCGGGGAAGTGAGTGAGAAGAGTAACAGTGCCCCCTGCAGGTGTGTGCCGATGGCAGTGAATTTGACCGTCTCAAGGACCTTCTGAGCAGCAGGATGGTGTCCCCTGGTGTCTGGCCTGATGGTATATGCAAACTGGTGATTAATGGTGAATATAAGCCTGATGCTTATTGCCAGTATCTCACGAAGGTCAGAGACCAGACCCTCCATGTTATCTCTGTAGTGGCCTGTGGGAGCTCCAGCTGGGTCTGTTGAGTTGGTTTTCCCATTTCTCTTTTCCTGCTACCGGGACCCCTTTTCCTTCAGGAAATTTCTCCTCCACTCCTGGTGAATCTAGTGGGTTTGACAAGCCACAGTATTTGATCCTGTCTGTAGAGGCGAGATTATGGTCCAACCAGGTCAATCGTAGTGCTGGATCCTTGTTGAGTAAGCTAGAAAGCCGGAGGTCATCCTGGATACCAACCTCTCCCTTACCTACCATATCCAGGCTGTC